CCTTGTGAGGAAGTCTGCTGTGGTGAAATCATCGGCCTGATGACAGATGGGCATCATTAATATGTTTACTGTACTGGACCTTATTTTTCTCAATAAATCATGAAAAGAACAAATCATATAAGTGGAGCTTGAATAGTTCCTGTGGCCTATAATTTAAATAATTGTGAACACCCATTCAGAAAATACGAATGTGGGCATTTAACACTTTATCAATACACTTACATAAAAAAAAAAATCAGCTGACAGCAAACAGTTGCAGTTTCAGTGTAGAATTATTTACAATTTTCATTCATAGTATTTCTGTACAAGTCTATCTCTGTTGCAGTGATTGATGCTTTTTCTCCATTGTTCTTTGTGATTTTCAATCAGTGCTTTGTATATTTACTGTACAAATAGGCTTCCTCTTTTTACAATTATAAGATTGTTCTTTGAAATTTGGGGGTAGTCTTCTTTTAATAAAGGATAATGGCAGATGTGCACAAGCAGCTGTGTGCCCCTTCCACTTCTGAATCAGGCACTGTATGATACACAAAATACCCTTGAACATGGTGAATTACTGGAAGATAAAATGAAAACGAGTATCTATCAGGGAAACTAGTGAACTTGTACATAAAGGGGCTGAAAATATGTTGTTACAGGATAATGGGTTGGATCTAGAGACGTGCCAGAGTAAGAAACTCCACTGGCTATGCTTACTGCAAGTTGTCCCACTGAAGACATAGAAATAATTCAAGCACAAGTCTTGAAACTGCTCAGTCCTTTATGCAAGCGGTTGCAGCATGAGCCTTAAGAGTTTGTGCCTAAACTCTCAAACCTTATGCAAGAGGTCGAATACAACCCCTTGAACTGATTGATGCATGCTGTTGGATTTGGATTCTATTTTCATACAAAAAGATCTTCCACTAGTTCTGGAAGAGCCTTTTGGGTTGCTCAGGAGGCCTTCTAGTCAAGGAAGACACCACATTTTGTTCTGGCCTAATATGTACATGAAATGATGATTGCATGCTAGACTTCGAATTATTGTTGCATCTATTTGGATCCAGAATAGATCTTCTGTGTACAATATCTATAGCGCTTTCCTCGTCTTCCTTTGTTTCTCTGTCTATAGTACTTTTGTGTCCTTCCAGCAAGTTACTATAGGAGACTAGTACACGATTTAGAAATTATGAAACTTTCATAATTTAAAGGTTAAACTAGATGTTAAAAACGTCAATCTATTGATATTAATAAATAAATAAATATAAATAATATTACCTACTGTTAAATAATAAAAAAACTTTATATTATTTTAAAAGATCATTTTTTAAATTAACATTTTGTAGTTGTGCTTGTTGTTTTAATTATTTTTTTTCCTTTCAAATTCTACTTTTTGCTCATGTATTACTTGGGAATCCAGATTTTATTTGGGATAATTTCTAGGTACCTGTAAAATAGCAGTGTCTGGTCAACAGAACTCCCCAACTTATTACAGAATAAGCAGTGAATGAACATATAGTTTGAATCACATTTTAGAAGAGCTCAGATATCTCAGAAAAGCAATGAATATCAAGGACCTTTAGCATTCATTTAAGCCATAATAATCTGGGGGATCACAAGCATTGCTTACTTAATTTTTTTATTTCAACCTTTTAAGCACTTTTTCTTGTTTTAGGCTTCTTTCAGAAAAGCCACCAGGAAACCATTGGGTTGAGGTTTCTGTTGTAGAAGTGTATAATAATGAAGTTTTTGATCTTTTGGCCAAAGACAACTCTGGAAGACTGAACGGTATCAAAAGGGGTATAATGACAAATAAAGAAGGAAAGAGTGATATTCCACTTCTTACCTATGAGTGAGTACTCAAGGAGTGTCTTTGAGTAACAATATGTTGTGCAACATGTGCCATTGTGGCATTGTCAAAAAATGTGAACCTTAACATCGATCATAGTGTCTTCCATTCCATATCTGTTTGTAGCTTATTAACGCTGTAACAGTGTGATTTTTACGTATTGATTGCATGGAAATATTTATTCTATTTCCTCCCTTAAGGTTTATGCTACCATGTAATTCAAGAAGATCCAAATAGGAAAGGATATGGGGGCACATGCACATCCCACTCCAGTATTTCTATGTGTACAGATCCTCCTCCATTTAACATGAAGATACAGAAAGGAGTTGTAAACATATATGGTACCAGTAGAGGTGAATATGTGTAGCTCAGAGTTGAAGTGTGGAGTCCTTGGGGTTCTCTGAGCTTGGTTCTTTTCTTGCTAGCACTGAAGATGTTACCTAGCTGGGTCATG